AGTTAATAACTCAGCGGAGGACGTCTGACAGACAACACTAAAAAATGAGCAATAAAACTTTTTTTTTGAAAATTTATTCATTTTCAGTTAAAACTGAACAATTTTTAAAACAAAACAAAAAATCTATTTACAAGAAAATGAAAGTGAGCAGAAAGAAGAAATAAACCTTATAATATCTGCTCCTTTTTAAACAAAAAAATACATATAAAATAAAATACATTCAAACACAATAATCTTTAAATAACAGAACTAACCAAAACCCACTCCGTATCAAGACAACCAGTCCTATAAGAATATATTAAACCATTTCATATTTTTAATAAATTCATCTTTACCTTTTTCTTAAACAAAAACTTTGAGGAAGCATTTTTACAGTCGTTATCCAAAACATTTCAGTTTTACTCCTTGAGCAGACGTACATCGTTCCTTTAACTTTAATCGAATTATTGGCTTCACAAACATCTCAAGTCCTTTAAATTTATAATTACTGACTCTCTTGATAAAAAATGATTGAATATTTCGAGGTAAAACATTTGTATGAGCCCTATAACTTCCAGTAAAAGGTCAGGAAATAGAAATACAATGACCTGGAAGGTAAAAATAAATAAAAGAATCTGAGCAGAAAATAAAAAACAGAACGAGAAAAACAACAATAAAATATAAAACCAGAACTTTACAAAATAATAATGATTTAATGAACTGGTTCATTAACACTACACACAATACAATACAGTGTTTTTTTAGGAGTATCTATCTGGATAGTCCAAAACAATCGCATTATGGTCTGAAACATCAGCAGTCCCAATTTCACAATTTATCAGCCTATAACAATCTTCTTTTTGTATCAGAAAGTAATCAGTTCTTGAACGGACTGAGTGTGGAACAGAACAGTGAGTATAGTCTCTCTCTGTAGGGTGAGGAAACCTCCAAGCATCTGCAAAACCAGTTTCTTCAAGGGTAGTGTTTAAAAATTTTGTTAGATGTTTTCGATTTCTATTCTGGCTAGTGGTATCTAAGTTATAATTTGAGTATCATGTTGAGGTCTCCACCACAAATACAAATCCCCTCATTTTCTAATGCAAGGGTATCAAAAAAAGTCTTTGAAGAATGACTTATCACTGTTCAGAGGTGCATAAACACTAATGAGTGTTAACATATTATTTTCTTACCTTTCCTTTACTATGACATAACGACCTTCTTTATCATTTATTTCTTTCTATGCCTCAAATTTCACGGAGTTTGATACAAGAATTGCCACCACTCTCTTACGGCTATGAACATGAGAGCTATAACAGATTTTTCTGTACCCAAATTTTTTTAATTTTACTGTCTCTTGAGGGGAGAGGTGAGTTTCCTGTAAGAAAATGAAATGCATATTTTCCTTCTTTATTTTGGTCATTGCCTGACTGGGTTGCCCAGTCCATTAACATTAAGTGACATTATTTTAAGTTTTTGTGACATAAAACAATATAATAAAACAAGACGACCCTCCTCCTCCTCTAACCTCCGAAAAGAACATTTGAACACAAGAACAATGAACCATAAAATAAAGTACAAACAAACTTGAATGGGTTGACTCCCACTCAAAAGTAAAAACGTTACCTTTTGGGTCTTCAGCCCCAATGCCTAATAAGGGGGTAAGCCTCACCCGAGCTGAGGGCCCCCTCCCAGAACTAGTGAACACCCCATGAGCTTCACTCATCCCAGTTCAAAACAGTTGCCTGCCTAACAGCAGAGCTATCAAATTATTGAGGATGCATTATAATAACTTCAGCATAGTGCAAGCTAAACTTATTCAGTAGTCAATATGCGCTCAGCGATAGATTCAAGAATATCTAAGATAGTGCCAGCAGGTCAGACCGTGTTACGTTGAAACTCCTGAAGCCGTTCGCGCACTCGTCTACCTGTCCCCTCATTGTCACGGCCCCGGGTGATGCGCTGCCATGGTGTTGCGTCATCCAGCTGGTCCAGTAGAGCTGTAGCATTGAATCCCGTGCGTTCCCGGGACTCTGCCACCTGAAAGCCCCTACGCCTTAAGTCGCGGATGGCTTCTGCTGGATTTTGGGAGACCTAAGGACCTGAATCCCAGTGGACTCACAGCTTAGTGTACGCGGACTGAAATCAGATGCCTTTCGCCTTTAAAGCGCTCTTCACTTCTTTGTAAGCTCTTCGCTGCTGGACCACCTCCGTCGTGTAGTCATGGTCAAAGTTCACCGGTTTGTTTTGGACAGAAATTTTTTTTCAGTCATGCGTTTCTCAGGATTGTCTCTTTGACCTTAAACTGGAGAAAGTTAACAACGATGGACCGTGGAGGTGCGTTGGAGGGAGGTTTGGGCCTGAGAGACCGGTGAGCTCGTTGTATTTGGATGTTTGTTCCCTCATCGATAAGCTTTTCTTTCCGGAGCAAGTCCTCCACAAACTGCATCACAGCGTTACCCTCCTCTCCCTCTGGAACTCCATAGATACAGTACGTATGTTGTTTCTCCTTGCTCTTGACCCCAGGTCATTTATCTTTTCACTCAGTTTCTTTTGTTCTAATAATGACTGTCTGAGTGATTCGTTAGTTGTAGCTGACCACGTTTCAAGTGCTTCTACTCGTGTTTCGGCTTCCTCCAGATTTTACCCTGCTCCTGCATGGTTAGCTTAGCTTCCATTATTTGCTGGTTAATGTCTTGTTTAAGTACAGCGGGTAAAATAAGTATTGAACACGTCACCATTTTTCTCAGTAAATATATTACTAGAGGTGCTAATGATATGAAATTTTCACCAGATGTTGGTAACAACCCAAGTGATCCATACATACAAAGAAATCAAACCATAAATGTCCAGAAATGAAATTATTTGTAATCATGTGGAATGGCACAGGGAAAAAGTATTGAACACATGAAGAAAGGGAGGTGTAAAAAGGCATGGAAAGACAAGACACCAGCTGAACTCTCTCAGTAATTAGAAAGCAAGCCTGCCCCTTGTCAGTGCAAGTTAATATCAGCTGGTTCAGTCCCAAATGATGGCCAGGTATCACACAAGAACCATCTGATGATGGGTAAAAGTAAAGAGCTCTCTCAAGACCTTCACAACCTTATTGTTGCAAAGCATAATGATGGCATCGGTTACAGAAGAATGTCTAAACTTCTGAAGGTTCCAGTGAGCACTGTTGGGGCCATAATTCAGAAGTGGAAAGAACATTATTTCACCATAAACCGACCACGACCAGGTGCTCCTCACAAGATTTCTGACAGAGGAGTGAAAAGAATTATCAGAAGAGTTGTCCAAGAGCCAAGGACCACTTGTGGAGAGCTTCAGAAAGACCTGGAATTAGCAGGTACGATTGTTTCAAAGAAAACAATAAGTAATGCACTGAACCACCATGGCCTGTATGCACGCTCACCACGCAAGACTCCACTGCTGAAGAAACAGCATGTTGAAGCTCCTTTAAAGTTTGCTGCACAACATTTAAACAAGCCTGTGTAATACTGGGAGAATATAGTCTGGTCAGATGAGACCAACATTGAACTGTTTGGATGCCAGAATACACATCATGTTTGGAGGTCAAATGGCACTGCACATCAGCCCAAAAACACCATACCAACAGTGAAGTTTGGAGGTGGGAACATCATGGTGTGGGGCTGTTTTTCAGCATATGGTACTGGCAAACTTCAAATAATTGAAGGAAGGATGAGTGGAAAAATGTACAGAGACATTCTTGATAAAAATCTGCTTCCATCTACCAGGATGATGAAGATGAAACGTGGCTGGACATTTCAGCAAGACAATGAGCCCAAACACAAAGCCAAGGAAACTCAGTTGGTTTCAGAGAAAGAAACTAAAGCTGCTGGAATGGCCCAGCCAATCACCTGACCTGAATCCAACAGAAAATCTATGGAAAGAACTAAAGATCAGAGTTCATAGAAGAGGTCCACGAAACCTTCAAGATTTGAAGACTGTTTGTGTGGAAGAATGGGCCAAAATCACACCTGAGCAATGCATGCCACTAGTTTCTCCATACAGGAGGCGTCTTGAAGCTGTCATTGACAACAAAGGCTTTTGTACAAAGTATTAGATAAATTTCAGTAAGTGTGTTCAATACTTTTTCCCTGTGCCATTCCACATTATTACAAATAACTTCATTTCTGGACATTTATGGTTTGATTTCTTTGTATGTATGGATCACTTGGGTTGTTACCAACATCTGGTGAAAATTTCATGTCATTAGCACCGCTAGTAATATATTTACTGAGAAAAATGGAGACGTGTTCAATACTTATTTTACCCGCTGTATGTCCATTTCTTTGTTTTTATGTTTTTCATGTTTTTATTAAGCTCGTCCTTGAATGTGCTAAGGTCTGACTTCAGTTCGGTCTTCAGGTCAGAAATTTGTTGGCTAAGTAGCTTCAGTTGCTCAAATAAAGTTCCAGCATTAACTGTTGCTTCTTCGCTGCCACCATCTTCCTTCTCCGTGTCAGCGTGCACTTTGTCTTGTGTTGTATTTACCTGTTCCTTTGATTCTTGCATCGTCTTGTACTTTTTCTTAGAGCCCCCAGGCATACTGTCCATAACAAGTGTAGGTAAAACTAACGTTTATTTGAATTTTTTGGGGGGAATTCTGCTCTGCCGTCAGGAGCTCAAGATTAGTCAGCCATTTTGTTCCATTGCCAAGCGGAAGTCTTAACTGCAGGTTTAAATATTAAAAGAAGTGGCAGCTCAAACTGGAATAAATTAGTTAAACTTAATCTGAAGCATTGCAGATGAGGTGAAGTTTAATTAAAGAAGAATCAAAGCAATCCCAAGAGGTAAATCTGTAGGAAGACGAGAGCAGAGCTCCGTGTCATTCTCAGACTATAATCTGTTCAGGATTACCCAGGCAGATTAGATCTGTTCTGTCCTCTTCTTTTGTTCCTACAGTCTTTGTTTTTTGTTTTTCTAGTCTGATTTTTAAATATTTCGTACATTTATATATATATATATATTTAATTTTTCTAGAAGGAATCTTTAACATAAATTTACCAGCCTCCATCTGGATCCTGGACTGAACTTCAAGGACAAAGACATAAAATCAGTTCTTTTGATTTCTCACAAATACTTTTCTGAGAATCCTCACAGGATCTGTCAAACCAACACTTCAGATCATCAGGATCTGCTGTATTTCCCATCCTCACACAGTCTGCGTTGGGAGAAATTCCACTCACGTCGTCAGGCTGATTGTAGCCCCAGAAACTGACAGAGGAAAGAACAAAGGTTTATTCATCATCAGTTCATGTTCCCATACAATGATGAAATTTGTGCTCTGCATTTGACCCATCACATGCGAGAAACACACAGGTGGGGCAGCGGGCAGCTATGTAAGCGCCCGGGGAACAGTTGGGGATTGGGTGTCTTGCTCACAGGAGCGGACTGGCCATTGGGAGTACCGGGAATTTTCCCGGTGGGCCGGCGCATCACTGGGCCGGCGCACGTAGCGAGGAAAAAAAAGGAAAAAAAGGTGTAGTTGTGCTTAATACAAGTAGATGACGATAATGCGTCAATTTATTGTTTACTAACCACCAGCAAAGACCCAAGAAGAAGAAAAGTTTGATGAAAAAGAGGAAGAAGAACCGGACGGGCTCCGTAGAGAATAAACGTAAGGGAGGAGAAGAAAAATTGAGAGAAAAGAAAAAGCATCTACAAGCAAATTAAGCCAAGTGTCAGAAATGTGGGCATGGCGGGGAGTCAAACCTGCGACTTTCAGGCCCCAAGCCGGCTGCTCTACCACTACACCACAGCTGCCCCAAATTAAAACAAATCTCCATGAGGTGAATTTGAAAAAAACCAACGTTTTCCAACCAACCTTTCATTCAGATGTGATCCGTCCACCCACAGAAATATTCCTTCAGTCTCTGAGTCCGTCAGTCCAGTCCAGAACATGTCCTCATCATTGGCCATCAAGTGTCCCAGTTTTCCCTTCAGAAACCCCTGACCAGTAAAAGATGATGAAGATGAATTTCCTGCCCTGAAGAAACTTGATGAAGTGATGAAATGTGTGAGAACATGAAGCCGCAGCAGTGTTTCATACCTGCTCCTCTCTGCTGTCGATCTTCACCAGGTCTCCTCCAACATCTCTGCAGGACCTTCTGCTGTCTTTCCAGTTGAGCTTATCGGTGTTGAAATAATAACACTTTCCTCCAAGAGGCTCCCAGCCTGCTCCACACTTCAGACATTTTTTATCTTTCACTGAAAAAAGTGAAACTTTGGATTAACTTTAAAAAATTGATGTAATTTGTTACACTTAAATTTATTTGTTTATCTCAAACTAAATGTATGACTTGGCTGAAATGAAAATTTTTAAGTTTATATCAAACAAAAGTAAAATTTTACATTAATTTGAAGTGAAAACTTACATTATATTTACCATAAATCAAATTTTTTACTTTGTTAGAAATGAACTTTTTTAATTTGTTTGAACTTAATTATTTACCATTACACTAATGTGTGGTTTTAATTTGGGATAACTTAATTAAATTGCTGTAATTTTGTTACAGCTATATTTTAAGTTATCTCAAGTTACAATCTTTTATTCAGAATTGTAAACTTTAATTGTACTTTCACCTTACTCAATACATTTTCTTTAGTCACAAGCAAACCTGTAACTCAGTTTAAAACATTTCATTTAATTTATTTGGTTTAAACTTAGTTCACTTACATTTAACAAATACAAAAAAGTAGTTCATGAAATGTTTATTTTTATAAGAGACAATATACACTACTTTAATACAGAAAAATAAAATACAGAATAATTAAAACCTCTAATTGTGTATTCTGTTATATTTTTCTTGTCCCTTACTTTTTGTAGTCTTTAAGACGTAACACTAAATATCATTAAGAGGGAACAAACAGACCCAAAGTCTTAAAATATACATAAAAAGGACAAGCATGATTTACAAGTATTACTTGTGTGAAAACAAAACTTTTGTCTAATTTCTCATAAAAATTACAAGTGTCTTTCCCTTAAATCCTGATATACAAAAAGTAATAGTGAATGCCTTGATGATGAAACAATGGTTACCATTAGATAAAATAATCTGAATTGTATCCATTACAAACATGAAATCAACAGATCAACAATTAAAAAAAAACATTTTAGGTACACCATCTTGGATCAAAGTGCATAAACCAGTTAATAAGGATAAATAAAAACATTGTTTTTGTCATTGAAAATTTAAGTTTGAACATTTTATATGGTAACCAGTGGTGCAAAGATTACAGCAGTGTTATAAATGAAAAGCTATTATTTTACATTTACCAACATCTTTTTCAATTCTCCTGAAATGTATCAGTACACCAGCTGTAACTCGAAAGAGTTGCTCCATATCCAGATGATTTCCCTTGTTCAGTCTTTTGTGTTGATCTTAAGGTTCAGTGTCATTGTCTTTATTTCTACAGGGTGTTCGCGGTCCTTATAAAGCCTTAAATTCACATTTCTAAAATTAAGGCCTTATAAAGTCTTAAATTTGTTTAAAAGTGTGCAAGTTGGTCTTATATTTGTTACTCAAAGGTCTTAAATTTTGTCGGGCAGAAGCGATTAAAGTTCTCCGTCTCCCCCGTCTGTCTCTGCAGCGCATTTCCTGTTGAGAAAAGACAAAAACAAATTTGTGTTGTGATGATTAACTGATGCTGCTTTCAACCAATAAAAAGAACCAGAGTCACAGTTTTAGCCAATCAGAGCAGAGCAGGGCGGGTCCTGCTGTCTGACGGAATCAGAGCTGCAGATGAAGTAAACAAGAGTTGATTGGATTTTTCCAAGGACATATTTTTTTCTTTTTTCGACCCTCCAGAACCACCTGCCCCGCATGAAGGTGAAGTTATGTAATAAATTATTAAATGTCTAAACATTAAACGTATGTGTTCGCGTGTGATGAGTTCAGGTTCAACCCGTCTTCCAGAACCGAGCCCCGACCTGCGTGGGTCTTTTTATCTAAAGTGTATCTTTGTGTTAAACGCCGGGTTAAATGTTGTTGTGTTCAGAGCGTCGTAGTTATTTTAAAGACATGCAACTTGCACGTGCTGAGGAGCTACCTGTGTACTCCTACCCATCCTGAACCGAGCCCCGACCTTTTGTATCTAAAGTCCAGTTGTGTTAAACATTTGTGTGTTCGGAGCGTTGTCGATATTTTACTATAGAAAGCGCACCGGGCCAAATACACGTGAACATTTTACGTTACTGTGATACGTAAACATGTGCAACTTGACCAAACTCCGGGTCCGACAGAGTGCACGTCACAGCGGGAGCGCGCTCGTCCTTTTTATGGTGAGAGAGAAGTTGCAGATCTTGACACACATGCACAGTAGTGGTAACTGGGGTAGGCCGTGGACGTCACAAGACATTATACAGACAGGCTCTGGTATCATGGCTACCTGACAACAGAGCTCAAAGTGTGGGATCATTTTAAGAAAATGAAAGAGATGAGCTCTATGTTTTATATTCAATTAACATATGATATGATTAGTCGACTAATCGAAAAAAAATGGGTGATTAATCGATTGTAAAAATAATCG